CCGGTTGTTTTTAACAAAGATACTAAAAGCTTCTTCACCTTTTTCGTGGTTCTAGTTTCACTCCTAAAATGAACTTCATCCATTATCCAGCTTTTAAGGGAGAACTTTTGCCTTCTTAAGGTGGAATAGTTACAGATCAATCAACTGAAGTGATTATTTAAGACTACAACCCTGATGAACTGCTTACAAAACCGTCTGCTGTGTTATTGGGTCCTTATCCCTCCCTGTGACCGGCTTAACCACTGATTACCGTCACATAAGGAAAACAACCTGTTTTATGCACATTTCATATATCAAATTATTTGATTTCTCCTCATTTAAATAAAATTAAAATCGTCAGATACAGATAAAATGTTCAATTAGGTCTCAACAATCTGTTACATTTTTGCTGAATCAGGTTTTTAATTTTGCTAATTCAGAAACAGTCGGGGTGCGTGATGCCCGGGCCGTTTTAGTGTTGGTTGGTTGGTTAGGTTTGCTGTACCTGTAGTTTCCATGGAAACAGCTGCTGCAGAAGAATAAAGCTGCTTCTTTGGGGGGAAAAAAACATATAGACAGAATGATGAGTCTCTATTTGCTTCCTTAACATGCATTTCTCTTTTTTGAAGTCTGTAGACCCCTTGAACTTTGGTTTATTTTGTCACATGACAGCCACAGACTCTTTGAACTTTATTGGGATTTTAAATGGAGATATGAAAAAAAAATATACTATAAAAGTGTAAAGTTCTAAACTTTATGTAAAAAATAATCATGAAAGTGATGAATACATATAATTTTTTTGCTTTTAAATATGCAAAAAGCTTTTAAATTTTTTAATCTTATGGTTTGTTTGGATAGAAAATTAGGCTTTTATTTATTTCAACTGATAAAGAACATTAAGTTTTGCTCCTATTTCTTTCCATACCATTGCAAGATGTCCCCATAACTCTGAACAGATAAAAAATCCCCATAAATGATGCTTAAGCTTTTGGTTTTGATACAACCTCTAAGCTCCCACCACCCAGCCCCACATTTTGTTACGTATCGAACAGCAAGCTTATTTGTACACAAAACCCAATATATTGTACCTCTTTAGAATCAGGCAATCCTAAAGAAAACAACCATCAGCTCAATGAAAAAGCCATCTATAGTCCACAAACACATGTATCTAATAAGCTGTCATCAATTTACTACTCATAGTTTTCACTTCTGACCTTGTTTTTGTCCTTTGGCATTCCAAAACACGTTCTATCCTGGCATAGATTGCCTCATTTTGTCCTTAACATAACACAGAAAAGTAATATCCCATCAGACAAAATCACTTTTTGTTATAATCCTCCAAAGCTCATTTTTTTTCCATGGAAAAGTTAAAACATCAGGATAAAAACACATTTTTCACCTGTCTGTCAATTTTAGATTATCTAAATTCATTGTAATCTCTTGGTGACCAATCAAACTTTAATTGTCATAATATTTTAGGCAACAAGATGAGGTTCGAAAAGAAGAAGTAATTAGATACGTCATCAAAATGCATAATCAAAATTCTGAAAGCTGAAAATTTGAAATATTATAAAAGAAAGTGTTTGAATGAAAATGTGTGTAAAACTACATGTAAAAATGTGTGGTTTTGTCAAATTACACATAAAGCTCAAGTAATCCAGTCTGGCATAGGGCTGGGTATTGCTCAAAAAGTTTCGGTGCCGGTACCAATACCAATACCTTCACTTCGATACCGGTTCCTGAACGATACATTTTTCGATACCAGTTTTATAATATCAATTTGAAGAAAAAGAAAATTACATACAATAATAAAGTACAAATCTTGATTTTGATTTTAAGCTCCGATTTTCCCATTTCGGTCGGTACCATAAAAGAACCAGTGTTCGGTACCCAGCCCTAGTCTGGCACTCCTGGTTTTAATTTGGATCAGTTTCACAATGTTTATAAAGAGGTCTGAAATTTGCATTTATTATGAAAGGAGAAGAAAATTATTTTTTTAAACATGTCTAAAGTTACATACAGAGTTTATACAAGTTGGTGATTGTACACATATCCCTTAACTTTGAATTGCGATGCATCACAACCATGTGGGATTCAGTGTTATTTTACTAGCCAATGGTATTTGGGTGTGAAATTAGTTGTGCAAAAGTTATAAAAAAGTGGGAACTGTTTAACTAGGAGCCACAGCAGAGATTAAAAATGTTTCTCCCTGTTTTTTTTCTCCTCTCCGATGAGCAGAAGCTGGAGGAGCGTTTCCGGATAAACAGACGGGAGCTGATTCCTCTGGAGTTCTCCGTTCTGGTGGCTTTGGAGATGGGACTGTACCTCCCAGAGAGCAAGGTCATGCCCCACTACCGCAGACTGGTGCAGCAGGGTTAGACTGGATGCTGTAGCGGATCGATCACCTTTATAAGCTGTGGTGTTTGAATTAAATACTTCTGGTACTATTTATTTTCACTGTAAATGTGAGAGGGGGGAAAAAAAAATAGTTTACATTCTATGTCAAACACTGTAGGTCGTTAGCGTCTCCGAATGTCTTTTTGTATGTGATCCACTCATGAGCTCTATGTTAGAGACGTTTTAAATCAATCAGCACATTTAATGTGCTTTTAACTGTTTTCTCTTCTGATGTATCTTTTTAAAGCACCATAATGATCTTAACTTGTACAGAGTTAGTTGTGATTTGTGTGTTTTCTAGAGGAAAACGGATGTTTCTGCACATTTTTATTCTACAGACTCTGTATTTATTTTAACTGATGAAAAACAAAGAAAAAAAAGAACCAGGGTAGATTTTGTAAAATGGCTTTCCGGCACTGTGACGCCTCTTTAGCTGTGGGAACGAGAGTCTAGGCTAAGAAGTGGCCTTTAATTTATCCATCTTTGTTTTATCGTGTCTCACAGCGATCCAGTCTGATCCACATATTTATACTGAAAGCAAGAGATTATTGAGACTCTTATGGCAGCTCTGAGTCTGGTGTTTGCTGTGCTCCTGTGCCGTGTTTATCACTGTGGTGTTACATTTAAAAAACAAAACAAATCAACCTTTGGGTTTTACAGTAGGATGTAGTGTTTACTTCCTGTTTGATGTTATTATGCAGGGGATTGTTTTGTGTGTCTGTGTTTTGCTGATAAGTATTTTGGTTCTCAGGAATTTTACTTTAAAGTAGCTCACAAAGTCCGACCCAAAGAAGTTGTTTTTTTTTAAAGAAATGAATGGAGAAAAAAAATACCTGATTGTAGTTTTTGTTTGCACACGATGGATTTAAATGTTGTACCCAGCAGCAGTATCATCTCAGATTTGAGCATTTATGTGAATATGGTGACAAAGTGCCTGAAACCGCAGTATCAGTGAAACCATTTGTTTTTAAATCCCAACATTTCCTCTTTTGTCCTGCAGCATCTCAGACGTCGTCTCTTGAGATAATCATGACCTAATTAACAATCACAGACTTTGTGATGGTGATTGAGTCTGACGTGATCTGTGTTCAAAATAAACATCAAAATCTGCAGAACTTGTTTGCCTCTCTTTAACTCTTTATCCTGATGTTGGAAATTATAATTTTCAAGCTTATGACGTTTTGCCACACAAATGTGCCCAGATCTCAGTCAGACAGCAATGTTCACATATTTCCCTGCTTTTTTTGTTGCATTTGACAGCTGGTTTAGCTCTTAGCCTCACTCTCTCCACTAGGCTAGTTTTCCATCGAGGCAAAAAGCCCTGATCTGGTCAAAATAGCCCTCAGGATCATAGGAGTGATCAGAAACCTCCATCTTACTGAACTTCTGTTGGGAAACTAAAGCTTTAAACCAAATTTGAACCACTAATGTTGATGGAAGTCTCTTTCAGAGTAAATGTGAATAAAACTTCCACTTGTTCACACACAGACGGTGAGTAAGCAATCTTAAGATCTGAATCAATAAAACAAACATTTTTGTTTTGTTTCACACTTTACTGTCTCCTGGGATAAGGACAACAGGGCATAGTCATGTCTGCAATCAGGAGCAGCTGAGAACAGAGCAGTAGTTACTATATTAGTTATTTTTAAGAGACACTGGACAGCAGAAGATAAATAAATACATATAAATAATAATCTGAGCTTCCTTTAACAAACATTTAGTCCAAACTCATGTCTTCATCGTCGTCCTTCTTGTCTTTAGAGTCGCTCTCCTGATCTGACTTTGTTTCCGTCTCCATGGCTTTAGCAAAAGCCTCCACATCTGCAAGAAAAATGTGAGCAAAGCATTTTTGAATAAACTGATGAATTTACTAAAGAAAAACAGAAAAAAATGTGAAGGGATTTTAGAACAAAAATTAAAGTTTTTAATGGGGGAACAAGAAAACTGTTTTTGGTCATTTAAGTCATTTGATGGAAATTCAAGTTTCCATCTGTTGGTTCAAACCTATTAGAGTTGATTTGTTGCTTTTTGTATCTCTGCTTCTGCCTCCTTGAACCCCAGTCGGCCTCAGCAGATGGCCGCTCACACTGAGCCTGGTTCTGCTGGAGGTTTAGTCCTGTTAAAAGGGAGTTTTTCCTCTCCACTGTCGCTACAAGCATGTTAAGTGTGAGGGATTGCCTTTGAGTCAATGAGTCGTTGCAATCAACTGGTTTTCCTTAGATAGAAAACTTTGAATCAATTTAACTGGATGATCTGGTGAACTGTAAAGTGCCTTGAGATGATGTGTTGAGAATTGGCGCTATAGAAATAAACTGAATTGAATTGAAATTGATTAGTAAATTTTATTCTTTTCTATTTCAACCACCAAATAAAAAATAAATGACAAAATCCCCTTTAAAGGTCTGTACCCAGCATAACGAGACCCCAAAACCATCAGAAAAAGGACTGGTGACCACGGGGCTCTTTTCTGGGAACTCTGGAGATTATTTCACAAAAAGCAGGTTTACTGAAAACTATGTTTTGTAAACCTGAAATCAGGGAAACTGAGTCTTGTGTTTCCCAAATGCAATCTGAGGTGTGGGAAAACTCCTAACAGCGTTCACTGTAACAACACAAACATTTACTTTGGCTCTTACAGATCCCTTTTTCAAGGTTTGGGGATGATTTAGAAAAGAAAATCGGTAATCAGCATAGAGGTAAACTATGATTAGAAGGTCTGAGATGAAACCAGAAATAAGCCTAAAGGTTGTAGTAGGAAAAACAAAAAAAAGATGCAGAGTATGATCCAAAAAGCATCCTCTCCTCATGAATTTGGAAGCAGTATGCTTCGAGAAAACGGTAATTAACTGCAGAGCAGAAAACAATTGTTCAGTTAAAAGAGGATTGGATCACAAAGCGTCCTGAGATGCTTTGAACCTGGTAGTACAGGTTTCCAAGTCTTAATGGGCTTACTGATCAAATTATTCATATTCTATAAATAAGTATATCACTTTAAAGTAACTCCCAGTGAAAGGCATTATATACATTAATTACACACAGACTAATGTTTACAAACCTTTATTTCTTTTAAAAATGAGAATTTTCAATTTCCAGCTAATGAAAACACATTTATTTTTAGAATATTACATTAGACCAAATTTGGGACTAATGAGTTTGTTAAACACCAGCTTAAAGGTTATCATTTTCAAAATGCACTATTGATTCGACACAAAAAGCCCTATTGGAACCTGTAATCTAATTTTTGGAATATGACCATACACATTTTTTTTAATAACGGAGCAAAGTTGCAAAAGCAGCAGGGGCTAAAGGAGATCTGTTCTTGATTTTATTTTAGCAAACGATCTGTAAAGATTCATTGAAATACCAGATTGTAAGCCTTGATCTTTTCCAGTTAGTGATTATTTTATAGCCTTGTGAAGCTATGGCTTTAAAACAACAACAAAAGCCAGATATATATATAACAAATGTATCAAATTAAAAGCAAACAGTTATATTATAAAAAAGTACCAAATGGGACCTTTGACGGATGAGACCTTTTTTAGAAACATGCAATTTCCCAGTCTACCAGCAGGTGGTGCCATTGTGACAAACAAAAAAAGTGGAAATCTAAAGGATTTTTAGGCATAAAACAAATGTTTGGTTCAGCTCAACAAAGTATAATAATTCTACTACTACATTAAGTTGATCAAATCGTTTAATGTTATGATATTATAGATAATTCAGGTTAGGGAAATGTTACGCTGATTTATTCATTTAAAACAGCGGTCCCCATCCACCGGGCCGCGGTCATTTGGTACCGGGCAAATACATATATATTTTATATATATATATATATATATATATATATATATATATAAGTTATCAGAGTCTGAGTGATGTTTTATTTTGAAAATATAAAAACTGGCGGTATTCTCTCCCAATTACATCAGTCGGTGCATCTGTGCCTCTTGACACAGGTTAATTCAGTTCAAGACTCATCCTATCTATAACATCCTATCTTTGTGAAGCGGGATTTTCTGTGGTTACAGCGACCAAAACAAAGCTACGGAGCTGACTGGTCATCAGGAGCACACTTCGTGTGTCATTGTCTCCGATCTCCGATTACGCCTCGATGGGGCCGGCTTCTTGTTTTATTTTTATGCTTTTTGTATTTGATTTTATGCCAGTCGTATCGTTTTACTTGATCGTATTTACCCCCCCCCCCTCGGCCGGTCCGTGAAAATATTGTCTGACATATAGCGGTCCGTGGTGCAAAAAAGGTTGGTGACCGCTGATCTGTTGTTCTAACATAAAAATGAAAATGTAACTTTTTTCATCTGACTGGAAACCTAAAAATGTATCATGACTGAAAGGAAAGCTTGGTTTCTGTCATTGTTGGCGCATCAATAAAACATGGAGGCCAGACAGTGAATAGAGACATGACTCACTGTATTAGTTTGGGTTACTAGAGAGAAGCACTGACCTCCTTTGTTGGCAGCATCAACAGCCTCTGCTGGGAGACCGAACTGGTTCATCAGAGGCCCCAACTGGCCCGACGCCAGAGCGCTGCTGAACATGCTCATAGCCTGAAACGGAGCCAGGAAAATCAGGAACAAATATTGACAATGAGCAGAGGGAAGAACCAAAATAAATTCTTGATCTTAATCTGCTACTGAGACTGTGAATCAGAGAATAGCTGGATGCAGCGTCTACCTGCTGAAACTGAGGTGAGCTGAGCGTGTTGTTCAGCTCCTCTGAGCTCTGAAGCAGCGACTCTCCGGACGGCAGGTAAGGCGTCAGCCTCTGCTGCACCTCTGGGTTGGCCAGGATGGGAGCCATGATCTCAGGAGTCAGCACGCTGGCCAGGTCCACTGCAGGGAACAAAACCCCCAAAAAACTGAAATTCACATTTCCAATAAGCCTCTTGAACTACTGGTTTCAGCTATGATCCTTAGTGTGACACTGCGGGGCAGAGCTCGTTGTCAACATGTAAATAGACCTGTGGTACAGTGCCATTTTTTTGCATAAAAAGCTCATCTTTAAATGCAAAGACTTCCATACATTAGAATAAAAAAAAAAACTTTTGAAAATGTTCAAAAGTAAAAGCCATAGATGGATGGATGGACCATTTATTTATCTGATGAGTTTTGTCTAATGTAACATATTAATCTTGCTTTTCTAAAGCTGTTTGTTATTGAACCCATTATTCCTCCCTTCTCTGGTTCTGTTGTGCGTTTCATGTTGGCCTACAGCCGACCTCACCTCCCTGACTGCTGGCAGGAACGTTCATGGTGGCCAGGATGCTCTGCAGGTCTCTGAGCTGGATGGGCTGCGTAGGGTTGGCCGCAGCTGCAGCTGCTGTGGCAGCGGGAGTGGAAGGGGTGGTGGCCGTGGGAGAGGCTGCAGAGGTGGCCAGGGGGGTGATGGGAGTGGTGGGCACCTGGGAGGAGCCGAGCCGGCTGGCAGCGGAGGTGGAAGTTGGGGTGACGGCCGTGGACGGGCTGGGAAAGATCAGAGAGTTCCACAGAAGCTGTCAGTCTCTGTTGGTTCCTGCTTTCATAACATGATGAACATTTGATCACCTTGTTGTGGAGTTGCTGACAGCAGGAACGCTACTGCTGCTGCTGCTGCTTCCCAGAAGGTTGGCCAAGCCTGGTCCAGCAAGAGCCCCAAGACCACCTGACATCATTAGAAACCAACATTACAATGCATCACACCCTCCTGTGTTCACTGCTGGTTCTATAGTCTTTACCTACCAATCCCACCCAGACCGGTAGGTCCAATTAGCTGCATGAGCTGGTTGTGGCTCATGTTACCCAGAAGGCTCTGCAGACCACCCTCACCTTTAGGGAAAGAAAACAGGGAACGACACTCGTGGAACTGAGGTTTTTATGTTTTCTTCAGCAATAGTTCCAGCATGCATGGCTGTGCTACCTCCCAGCGCTGACAGGTCGTGTCCTCCGCTGCTGTTGCCACCAAGGGCGCCTGGTATGGGCGGGTTGTTCAGGTACTCGTTCACTTTGCGACAGTATTCGTCATCCTTATCACTCTTCGGTTCCTGAAATCAGAACAAGTAAACGACACAAGGCAAGTCTTCAAGTATAATAAATAATTGTTATTACTGTAAAACACTAAACGCATAACTTGTGCATTTAAGTGTTTTTATTAGGATTTTAATGTGCAAACTGACACAAAGTAGTTGTAGTAGAAAAGATTATGACAGATTACCTTTAATTGACAGTTAAAAATCTTAAAAGTGTGGAGGCCATTTTTAATCAGTGCTCCTGAGTTCGTTCATTGAATGAACACTTTTCACAGTGACTTCATCACCTTCAACAGTATCCACCCATTTAAACAGCTCAAAAATGAAAATATTTATAGTTTTTCCTGCAAGAACACCTTCAAAAATTAGTCAGATAAGAAGGATTTAAACAGCTATTTTATTTAGCAATTCTTTGCATAAATTCTGAACTTTAAACCTGATAATGAAGATAAAAATCAAAGCTCAGGCTGTATCCATCTCAGCTCGACCCTGCTGAGAGAAAAGAATCAAGCTGATTGTGTCATAGAGCAGACGCTGTGTTCAGAATAATGCTATGCTGAGTTAATTCTCCATCACACACTCTGACTAAATATTTTCAATCAGTTCTTTTTAACAGTATATACAAGTTTATAAGTACATAAAAACGTTAACGTCCAAATGGGGGTGGAAAGAGGCAAATGCTTATCTAATCTATGCTGGCCACATAACATTAACTATTCCATATATATCTATAAATATGAACATATCCTTATATACTTCTACATAAGGATTATAATTACATCATGAGTAACGGCCTTCCTCTTACTAATTATATTTTTGTTACAAATTAGTGATAACTGATTATGATAAAACACCAATTTTATAAAGATGTTAGCATCTTTACAAAACACTATATATATATATATATATATATATATATATATATATATATATATATATATATATATATATATATATATATATATATATATA